GGCTCCTCCGCCGCCGTCACGCCGTTCAGGGACGCGGCTCCGGTGCCCTGGCCCCCGCTGACCGTTGCTCTTGTCCGGAGCAGCGTTTGCTTGGAAGGCCAAGCAGGTTAGCCGCTGTGATGCACCGYGGTGTGCTCCCCAGGTGAGGTTCAGGAGGAAGAAGAGGAGTTTTCCGTGTCGCCTGGGCAAGCCCGGGGTCTGTTCCTGTGTTCTGCTCTGCACCTGGGCGAAGACATCCGGGTCAGAGCCTGTGCAGATCATTTGTGGGCTGTTTGTTATAAACAGTGCACATCTAGGTCAACAGATGCTTTGTTTTTAAGTACAGCTTTTCCTGCCTGTGCACTGATTATGCCACTTTTCGCTATAGCTGTTTGGTTTGGATTTAAGTCAGTTACTGTAGCTGAAGGCCAGAACTAGAGTTAAGAATATGTGGCGTGATAGAAGTCTGTCTGGTAGAGTCACTTCTGTGGCCARCTCTTGCTCGTTTTCCGAGAGTTGTACATGCTTCCCTGAGTGGAAGGGAGCATTTGCTAAAATGTACCTCAGAGTTCCTGCAGTAACACCCAGGAAAAATGTGGGTTCCTACAGCCCGGGGTGCTTCAGTAYGTTTCAGTGCTGAGCAGTGGCCTGTTTAGTGCACCTTTAAGATACTTGCAGGTGTAAATCATGCCAGTGTTTTAACATGAAAATTGGATATCTGATACACCACCATATGACTCTCAGAAGAGTCGTCCTGAAGGCTTTGACAAGCACGTTAGATCTTGCTGTTCTCTGAAATGCCCCATCCCTGTTTTTCCACACAGGGGTCCTTCAGGCTGCCGGCCGCGAGGCAGGGAGCGCCTGGAGCCGCCCTGGCAGGGAGCGCCTGGAGCCGCCCCGCTGCTCGCAGCGTCCCCGGGCAGCTGCGTTGCCGAGCTGGGAGCCGTCGCTCTCACCCCGCAGCCCCTCAGGGTTCCCAGCAGAAGCAGAATCAGGGGGCCACACATTTAAGCAGATGTATAAACCCGTCATCAGAAAGAAATGTCTGTTTATGTAGGATTAACTGAAGAGGCAAGGAGCTCAAGTGCATTTGAAACTTAGTATGTGTCTTTTAAATGTTTTAATCTTGACCTGTCTAATTCAAGGCAATAGAACTTCATCCACTTGTTCCTGTCCCAAGTTTGTACCTTGTGTGTAATCAAATATTACTTTAAGAAAGGAAAGGTACTTTAAGAAAGCCTGTCTTGATTTAAAGCCGTCAAAGGTATAGTATCCACTGCTTTGCTAGGGAATTTGCTTCCTTGTTTGGTGACTGTTGGCATTGGTAGCGTGGTAATCTGCCCAACAGCTAAATGGTATTTCCAGGCTTGAGGATGTTCCCTTTTTGCATCAAGCCTCGTTCAGTGATAGCATTTATTTTCTGGCTTGATTTTGCATGATCAGCACTGTGTTCTCCTGTGTCCAGCTGGTCACTTAGCACTGGTCTGGTAAATCTTGGTACTTTCTCTACGAGGTGTTACTTTCCACRTTGCTAAACTTTTAGGTTGAAAGAAGTATTACTGAGCTAGAAAGTATGAGCTGTTCTTTCTTGTCATTAAGATACAGTTGAAGGAGTGCACACTGAAAATTGGTAGCTTCAAAGGGGAAGGCAGAGCTCAAGAGAAGCTACGTGCATTGTTGGAAATAAGCTTTAAACTCATGCAGTGGTGGTTGCAACTTTTGGTGAATTTGGCTTGCAAAGTGCATCTCCTTGGAGAAAAAAGATCCTACTTTATTTTCTTGTAATTATTTTCTATTCCCTTCTCCAGCTTACAGTTAAAATAATCTTTTGCAAGAATGACGGTAGTTAGCTGTGGTTTCCTCTAAAATGTACTTGTAATGTTGCTTGGTTGATGGCAAAATTTAAAGATAAAGCAGGATTTGCCTTCAATTTTACCCAGGGTGACTAGTGATATGGGCTGTATGTGCAGAGTGGCAGAGCTCTGGCAGTAAACTGGGATCTTCCAGTATAAAAAGGCATTTGGATTTTAGTGGCATTGGACCACTAAATTGTGTGTAAAGTAAAAATTGTCATTGTAAGCTGTAGTTGGATAAAAATAAAAACATTCTCATCAAATCTTCTAAAAAAAGGTAGCAATGAAATGATGTCAGTACAAAAATCCTTAAATTTTGCAGCATTTTAATATGCTAGGAAAAACTGTCAAACAAATAGTGATTTTGTTTTGTTTTGTTTTGTTCCCGGTGTGAGAAAAGGAAAAGGTTTATGTTGGAATTTTTGCCTACCCTCTTCACAGTTGGCTGAACGGGAAATAGAGCCCGGAGATAAATGTTTCAAGCACCCTGCTGTCAAGAAGGACTGAGTTTAATKAACTTTTCCTTCTCGATTCCTTTTGGTTAAATGCAGAAGAGAGGTAACGGGAGTACTGCAGACAGATTCTGTGTCACGCAGAGTAGCGTCTAAGCAGTGGCATTGCTTTAAAATATCATCAGAGCTTTTGAGTGTCTGTGTGTATGCAAGGCACRTAATACCTGTGTTCAGCATTTCCTTCTTTGCTTCCTAGGTAAGGCCAAGGGGAGCTTTTGTGCACAAAAGTCAGTTTGCTAAATAC